GACCCGGAGTCGCTCCAGCTCTCGAGCTCGGCAGGCCTCGACTCGGGCCTCCAGTGCCTGCTCCCACCCAAAGAACTTGATAACCCGAACGCCACTCAGCAGCTCTGTCATGAGCTAGGGAGAGGGACAAGATGGCAGTGTGAAGAGGAGATGCTGCTGATATGTATTCTCCTTTGCCTAGTCACTGCTGGCTCGAGTACTTTGCACCTGGATTCTCTCTACTTCCCTAGCCCTGGCCTTTTTCCTCACCTCAGCCCTTGCTGGAAATCCTGCCTGCAAACCCTTTTCAGCCCTGGGTTGCTTCCCCTGCCAGGCTTTCACTTCTCCTCCATGTTTCGGTTGGGGCAGGTTGGAGCTAGAATCCCCCCACCTCCCTAGGAGATGAAGTGATGGATGGTGCAGGAGAGTTACCACACTGGGGTAAAAGCACTCCTTCCATTAGATGAGGGACTGGAGATTATTTCCCTGGGCTTCTAGGGGTTGTCCCCAGTCCAGCCCATGACTTGAGCGGTATGGGAGCCATTCCTGTCAGAGTATGCAGGTGTAGGAAGCCACACTACAGCCCAGGGACAGACAGGCCAATGGGCCCAGGCAAGATAGAGGAACTCCTTGGATCCTAACATTCTTATTCCCAGCCTGCAAGTCAAGGAGGCACTGAGTGCCTTCCCAGAGGCCCTGGAGACCTAGCCATGGGTAGGGGAAAAGGCCACATGCCATTACCAGGGACAGCTGCTCCCTCAGCACTCTGAGCTATTCCAGGAAGAGGCTGGCAGCTGTGTTGTAGGGACCCCCAGGCCTGCCATCCCCTCTGTGAAAGTGGCCACAACCACTGCAGACCCAGAACTGACTCAGCCAGACCCTCAACACCAAAGCTGGCCCAGGCAGAAGAGTTCCCTACTCCCTTCCCCAGAGCCTGGCCCTAAGAGGTAGCTGGGGTTCTCCTGGCTCTCTCCACAGGCGGCTATGGGATGGTCTGTGCCCAAGGTGAGGAAGTGGGAGACTTGGGTCCTGTCTTGAACACTAAAAATCTGTTTGGTTTCTTCTACCTCTTAGGGCTGCTGCTTAAGGTTGCATGAGCTAATACTCTAAAACGGGCCACATTCATTTAGTGCTTGCTTTGTGAATGGCACTGAACCAAGTATTACCTCATATGAGCCTCCCAACAACTCTATGAGGCAAGCTATTATCATTGCTGTCACTTTACAGATGAGGGAGGCCCAAAGAGGTTCAGTTATGTCTGAGGTAATTAGCACCTGTTGATGGGATGTGAACCCATGCCTGCCTTTCTCCAGTCTGAGCTCTTAACTGCTAGATCACCCTCACTCCCTCAGGCACTGTGCATGGGAATCTGGGGACCAGCATGCTGCTGGGGTCTCCAGATTGCTGAGGGACCTGAAGCACCCTCTTACCTTAACCCGCGCATCCTTGTGCTGTAGCATCTCCTGGTTGCTGGCCATGATCCGGGTGGCAATCATTTTGTTGACGGGTACCAGCAGCAGTGCCAGGATCAACCCACCCACAAAGGCCACACCCACCTGCTGGTGCAACAGGTAGAGGGTGATGGCCAGCTGCAGGGGCAGGCCCCAGGCCTCATGGAAGCTCCCAGCAAAGTTGAGCAACCGCTCAGAGTCAGTGCCTAGCAGGTTCAGGGCCTCCCCAGCAGGAGGGCGTCTGGGCCCCAGCTGTAAAGCCTTCCGGTACAGGATGTTCAGCACGGCCCCCCGTGCCTGAAGTGTCACCTTCCGTACCTCATACCCATATTGATTCTGTAGCACAGCACCTAGTATAGCACCCCCCGCCAGCCCCAGAGCATAAAACAGGCCACTACTTAGTGGCTCCTGCCCCTCTTCCAAGAAGCCCACCAGGAGGGACAGCAGCAGGGGCCCTGAGAATCCCAGCATGGTCCCCACCAGCTTCAGCAGTCCAAGTGCCAGGTAGCACCGCCCAAAGGCCCCATATAGGGCCCTCCACAGCTGGGCCCCTTCCCGCCAGTGTGCCTGGAATACACGGGCCAGATAGGCTGGGTGCAGTCTTTGGGGGAGGCGGCAAGTGTCCTGGGGCTGCCGGAGCTCTCCACGGGCCCCTCGGGCCAGCAAGGGTGTCAGCCAGGCATAGGAAAAGCATGACAGCCAACTCTCCCCATCTTCAGCTACCTCAGGTTCCTGACCCTCGGACAGGAGGGGCTCCTGGGTCCAGGGTTCCTGAGGCCCCCCAGGGACTGCCCAGCCCATTCCATAGGCCAGGAGTGCAGCCAGCTGCAGAATTAAAAGGCCCAGGCGGAAGAGGGGCCCTGGGAGCAGTGGGGGCAGAAGCGTACCTCGTTGGCAGTGCCACAGCAGGGTGAGCACTAGGGCCGGGGCTGGCAGGAAGGCAGCCAGAGCCAAGGCCAAGGGCCCCCGGAACTGGCCATGAGGGGAATGAGCCAACGCCCACAGGGCCAGGCTGTGGCTAATCCAGGCCACTGCTGCCACACCCGCTGCAAGCACCTCCAGTCCTATGGGCCCTGGGCCTGCCCCTGGTGGCAAAGCAACTGGAAGAAGGTCTAGCAGTGGAAAGATGGCGAGCAGCAAGGAGGCTGCAACTCGAAGGCGCCAGCCAGGACTGCAGTGTAGGGTGTAACCTGGGTTCCTGGGGATGGGGAGAAAAGAGAGAAGGAGGCACATTACGGCGGACTCAAGGCCCAGACATACGTACAATGACTCACTTACCTAGAGGGAATCAACTCCTTTTCCTGCCTTGTAGACCTTATTTCTATTCCATTTTACCCTGGAAACCAGGGTCTTTTCTCTGAGGAAGTTTTTCTGGATCAATCTTATCCATTTTCTAATCTACCCATAACATTTCTGATCATTTTTTCACCACAGAAATTAACAATTTTGAGTGAAGGTTGTACCATACATGAAGACTTTAATTAGAAAAAAGAAATCTTAAATTTTCATAAAGATAACCAACCACTAAGGGATGAGTAATCATTTTTACAAAAGTATCTAAAATAACTCTTAAATTCACCTGAAGCATATCGGATGAATACAAATTTGATTTATGTACAGCTTCTACACTCTACTTCTCTAACCTAAATTTTATGAACCCTCAGAATATTCTACTCTCCAGTGGTTGTAGAAGGTGGTGTGAATCATTGTTGACACCATTAGCTGAAGAAAAACTTTTTAGTTTTGTCTATATCTTTTGGCATGCAAAAAAAAATATTTTTAATAAACAAAAGGGTGACCAGGATGCATTAAAAATCAAGTATAGGAAAGCATGCCTACAGCAGTGAATCTGAGAATGACCTGAAGGTTCATATAAAAAGAGGACTGAATCTGTTATTCCTTTTGTGGGCAAGGCTGGGTTACTGAAAAAGTTTAATCATGCATTAAAATTGCTTTGGGTGTCCTTTAAAAAGTCCAGCTGATCAGTTCTGTGGAGGGGTTTATAGTGCAATAAGAGTCAATCTTTAACTATTCTATTTCCTGAAATGTGGGGACAGAACACTGGCCCTGATTTGGCCATCAACTAGTCAATGACCTTGGGAGAGTCTCTTTCCCTTTATGCATTCTGTTTTCCTAATCAGAGCAGTGAGGAGTCTGGACCCAGAGCCCTCCGAAGTCCTTCCCTGTCTGAGATTCTGATCTTTCTAACCCTTTTCAGCAATGTACAAAAGCTTGAAAACTAAAGTGAGATAACCACAATTTCTATTGATTACAAGATGATCTTTCTTGCCTTCTTGGACTGTGAGTTCCCAGAGGACTGTGTCAATTTTTAATAGCTACTCCTCTGAGCAGCTTGTGGATGTCTGTGCTATCTGACTAACCCTCTCCAGACTTTGTCTCATTCTGCCTAAGGGACAAATCAGGATTCCTCCTAGATCAAGCAGATCCAAAACTTCTCCCTCCCAAGGAAGGGATTCATCAGCTCCCTAATTCATCCTGGATAGAGACACACACACTAGGGACTCCTCAGGCAGACTAGACTTCCCTCCTGCCTTGCCAGTAAGCAAAGTGAGACTAATTTTAGCCCTATCTAGCCATACAGGAATAAGTACAAAATCAAGGTGAGTTTAGCAGCCACACCTTATAGCACCCAAACCCAGGAAGGACAACAGTTTGGTTTTTGCTCTTCTAGTCTACCTACTGCTTCCTTTCTAGCTGAGTACATATGCTTTTTCTTAACAGAGGAACATGAGCTTTCATAGATGTAAGTGGTGAGAAAGTGGTCCTACAACTTCAACACAAATTATCCTCTTTGGCTAAAAACATTGTTCACCCAATTTTGCCTCCAATTAATAACATCTGTTTGAACATCTGAAAATCTATAAACCTCTACTATGCATCCAGCCTTTAAAAACGTGCCAAGCACTGTGTTATACGCTCACCTGCATTATCTGATTTAAACCTCTCAACAATGCTATGAGGCATAAAGAAGAAAGGTAACTTGCCCCCAAACAGCCACACTGCTGCAAGTGGTATTGCCCAGCTTTTTTTCTACTTTTGCCCTACTCCAGACTTCACTACTGTTATTACACTGCCCCAGGGATGTGGGTTTCCAGTGAGGTCTGCAGGCACACATGGACAGAAGAAGTCTTGCACCCATCTCTACCCACCTCGGGGTGCCCCAACGGCAGGCACTGAGCACAGCAAGGAGCGCGTGGGGCAGGGCGCTGAGCACCAGCTGGGTGAAGCAGTGGCCGGTGGTGTCCCCCTCCCACGCCGGGAGCGGTTGCAACGCGCTGGTGCCACACAGCTGAGCCAGGAGCTGCTCCATGGAGGCCTCGCCTGCAGTGAAGCCGAAGGTGGAGGGAGGGACGGTTCCTCCCGAGGGGAGAGGGGGGGATCGGTGTTCCCAAGGACGACGTCCAGTTCGGCGCACCTGCACCTGCGGGAGCTGGACGCTAACTAGAACGTGGTACCCCGCCGAGCGCCCCAGCCGGCTCCTCCCGCCTCCAACCACGCCCTCAAACCGGGATCTCCCCTCGCTTCCGCCCCGAAGCCAGACCCCGCCCAGTCTCGCGTTACCTCAAGGGACAGAAAGGGAAGTGGCTTGTCTCCCTGGGGCTAGCTGGCGGATATCTGGACTGGGCGCCCACCCGCCCTTGCTTTCCTCCCTCCCTTGTGTTCCAGCTTCCAGAACTCCGGAACCTCCAACCTGAAGGAGCTGCTTTTCACCGGATTCCCAGAGCCCCGGCACTGGTGGATGCAAAAGAGCGTGGTGCCGGGTTGCGGTGACAGCCAAGCTCGCTTGTCACCACCTAGAGGCGGGATGACCTCTCAGGTACCCCTACGATTCGCAGGGCTTCTGCGCGCGTGCGCACCTCTTTCTGCTTCCGGCGGCCTAAGCAGGTGCACTGCTGCGGTCGCACCTTGTATTCCCACACGCTTATGCTGCGTGCTTGAATATGGACTGGTTTCAGCTCTAGTGCCATGTCATTCATACACTCTCACGTAGAGAACTCGCTCCCATCTCACTGCTGTTTTCCCAGCAGGCATTTGCGGTGCATTAATTTTTAAAACTTCACAGAGCTGGGAAGCCAAACATGCATGCTACACAAACGAATAGTGCCGCTTAGGGACGTTTAAACAATTTGCTTCCTTACTCCAAGTCTACATGGCCTTGGGAAAGTTACCTAACCTCTTTGGGCCTCCATTTCTTTATCTGTACAAGAGGGGCAATAATACTAATACCAAAGTACTGTGGAGATAATTGAGTAATTAAAGGGCTTAGGGCAAGTATCTTGCTAAGTGTAGTCCCACAATGTATGTCTTTAAGGGAAGCAGTGAGAAAAACATAAGCTTTATATAGTTAGATGGAACTGGGTTTGAATTCTGACCCACCAATTTTTAGCAGTGTGATTTTGGACAAGTTACCTCTTCGTTTAGTTTTATTTTGTTTATTGGGCGTGCTATTGGTACCTACCTCACACAAGTGTGTACAGCACCCAAAGAAGAGTAGCTCACCAAATAGCTATGATTATCTCATTTGATTTCAATAAGAAGCCTGGTAGCTCTAACGTCAAGAATTATTGTTCCTGTTTTTACAAATTAAGAAATGTAGGTTTTCACAACCTCTAATTATTAATGGATCACCTGTGGCTACTAACTCACAAAAAAAGAGACAACCAGATTTTGTGTGCCTCCTTATGAAAAATAAAATATTTATGCCAAAAAATCCAGCTTTAATTGGATCAAGCCACTATGTTCAATTACCTTCTTGCAAGAAATACAGGAGACAGTTAAATAATACTGTGCAGCTATCTTGAGAGTGAGCAGCTATTTGTAAGTTTACATTAGCCACTGTAGACAAATAGGTCATCCTATACAGAGGTCTGAGCTAAAGTGTTTCATTGCATATGTACAAGCAGGATGAGGTATAGTCAAGTGTAGGCATCTAAGAGAGAACAAGAGGGCTGTTTGGAGAAACCACTTCTGAAAAGAGAGTAAGAGGGGCGGTTGGTGCTTCTGTTAAAGATTACTCCTCCTTTGCCATCTTCCACCCCAGCCCTTGGCCAGCTTGGTGCTTAGGCACAGTGGTAGGGCCCAAGTTCCCACTGACTATCTGAAGAAGGTGGTGCAGGATGTGGTCCCCTCAATTTCATAACACTCCAGTGTCCAAATTTTTGGCAAAAAGTCTGGCAAAAGACTCATGCCACAGACAGGATTCCTCCTGTCACAACCAACTAATTTATGTTTTCCCAGAACATAAAGGAGGAAAGATAAATAATCCTCCATTCAGTATCATTTGGCTCCATTGTTTCACCCAGTTTCCCAGAGAAATTTACACAGGGTTTCCAAACAATGAGGCCAACAGTACAAGTTTGTCTTCTTTCTTCCACCTTGGAAATTATTGGTAAGAGGATTAACAGGTGGGAACAGGAGATAAGGAGAGAAAGGTGGAAATCATTGGCCACTAGATAAGTCACAGTCCATACAGTGGAGGGATGGTCGCAGTTCCTAAAACCTGGAGGGCTGAAGGAAGGTTCTACAACTTTGAAAACTGACCTCAGACTCATCACATCCAGACCTGATGTGAACTGTCAATCTTAAAAATTAAACAACAAAGATAATTGAGCAGCAAATAAGCTAAGTCAGGATTAGCAGAGGAATTGCAATTTGAGACACACAGGCCTCCAAGAACCAGAGCAGAGGCAAGTCCAGAGAGCCAAGGAGGATAGCTGACCTTTTCAAGAGGAAGGAGGAAGTTGGGAGGGGTTGTTATGAACAAGACTTCATTGGAGGAAAGTGAGAGTTGGAACTGGTGGTAGCTTCTCATTAGCAGTAGGCAAGGACAATGCTGTTGCTGGGCAGAGGAAATCTTCCTTGTTTCTGCTAATCTACGTAAGTTGCTTGACTGGTATGCCTGACAGCACCTCCTTAATAGCTTCCTGACTCCCATTTTGAAGGAGGTTTCTTTTATTCATTTTCACAGAAGAACTGAGCTTGGATGATCAGGATCTCATAGAAATGGTAGGAGTTGGGGTGAGCAGATTCAACTGAGTGCCTTGGAGTGGGTGGGAAGGAAGGGTGGACAGTAAAGGTACCTCTGAGAAATGAAGAAGAGCTCTCTCAGATGGTGGCTTCCAAGGCAGTAGGTTCTGTCTCCTCAGTACCCTCTTGGCTTACTTGCTCTTTTCTGCCTGTACTTTGCTCCATAGTTATCAGCAAGGTGATTTGCTAGAGGGCAAAGGGGCAAATGTGGGTAGGGTTGAATCTGGGCAAGGCCCTGCCACATCCAGGTGTTCATCCAACCCACATCATCCTCCTGCCAGGTCAGCATTTGAAAGGTCACGTGGAGTGGTGCTAGTTTTAAGGCTTGGAAGGGAACAGAAGCTAGGCCTGCGCACACCACCTGTCATCTGCTTCTCTTTCCCAGAAAGAAAATTTCTCTTTCACATAAATGGAGTCATATTATGTGGTCTTTTGTGTCTGGCTTCTTTCATTTAAGCATAATGTTTTTGGGGTCTGCCAGTGTTGTAGCATGTGTCAGTAGTCTGTTCCTCTTTAAAAAACACAGCTTTGTTGAGAGATAATTCACATAAACAATTCACCCACTTAAAGTGTATAATCCAGTGGGTTTTACTATATTCACAGGTGCATTCAGCTGTCATTACAGTTGGCATCAGTGTAAGATAAATTTTAGCTGTAATAAGCAGGCGACGAGAGGCAACAAAGGGCCTGGTAGTTTATTTGAACGCAATTCCTGGGTGATATTCCCTGGTCTGGTTATCACGGGCCGGGGAAGTCACACCCAGCAGGGCAGGCAGTGAGCTTTTAAAGAAGGTAGGGGGAGGGAGAGCATAGGTTTACAGCGGCACCACGAGGATTGTGTAGCCTAAGGCACCTTTTTTAGGTTGGGGGGGGCAGCAGCCTGGGACTTTGGCAGGTCATCAGTGTCGGACTCCTCCCCCCAGTGCCTCCAACCTTACAATCAGAACATTTTCATCACCTCAAAAGGAAGCTTCACACCCTTTAGCTGTCAGTCTTTTATTCTCCACCCTCCACCCACCCCAGCCCTAGTCTACTATCTGTCTCTGTTGATTTCCCTGTTTCAGATTTTCAGGTGAATGGAATCATAAAATATCCTGTGGGTAAAATTGTAATATTTCCAGAATATCTCACCTGGCTTTGGTACGTCTGCATATCAATAGGCGCTCATAGGTGGAGAGAAGTGTGTATTTAGGGCATTTGCATCATTCCTCAGGGGTGGAGAGAAGTTCATCTCCTTATCAATGGGTAATTACCTGGGCAAGGAGGGCTTACCTGTACCCAGAGGTGAGAGGAGGGCCGGTTTTGCTGCTGCTGCTGGAGCAGGAGAGAGAGGTGGGCCTGCCTGCAGTTTGTAAGGAATAAATGGTTTTAAACTTTATTTCTCCCTTTGACTGATTTTGGTTTTTAGAGGTATTTTGCCCCTGGTATATTTTAGAGGATTTCCTTTCCCTGGACTTACAGAATGGAATCATGTAATATATAGTCTTTTGTGACTGGCTTCATTCACTTAGCATGTTTTCAAGGTTCCTCTACATTTGTAGCAGGTGTCCGTACTTCCTTCTCTCTCTTTATTTTGGCAAAGTACACATAACATTTACCATTTTAAGCATTTTAAGTGTACAGTTCAGTGGTATTAAGTACATTCACATTGTTATCCAACCATCACCACTATCGATCTACAGTGCTTTTTCCATCTTCCCAAAATGAAACCCTATACCCATTAAATACACTCAATTCCCCTTCTTTCCAGCACCTGGCAACCACCTTATGCTTTCTGTCTCTATGAATTTTACTACTGTAAGTATTTCATATAGGGTAAATCATGCGGTATTTGTCTTTTTATGACTGGCCTATTTCACTTAATGTAATTTTTTTCCCTTTCATTTGTGGATTGCTCCAGAAATGCAAGTGATGCCAGGGTGCTTGTTCATGAAACCGAAGAATGAGCTTCACAAACACTCAAGGTAGGAGAGCAAGGTACAGGCTTTTATTTAGAGATAAAGTGAAAGGACAGAGCTCCTGGCTCACACCAGGAGGGGACAAGAGAGCCCATAGTGGTGCCTTGTCTAGGGGTTTTATAGGCAGATAAGGATTTTTGGGAACAGGATAAAAGGCTTAGGGGTGTGGACTTGTTAAGTGGTCCCTGAATATTTAGAATTAATTTAACACAAGCAACTTCCTGCTCTGATGATTTCTCCCTGAGATACCAGCTCTTGGTCTGGGAGCATATCAAAAAAGGCTGCCTGCCCAGCTCCCAAGGTGGGCTGAGGTATTTTTTGCTAAAGAGTAAGTTAAGAATTTCTAACTTCTTAACTTCCTGAGTGTGAAAATGCAGTCTTATCTTTAAGGTGGAATCCTTCCTGCCTTTTGCTATGTTGTTTATGCCTGGGCTTACTTACTAAATTAGTTGCCCAGTTTGCAAAATCACCTCATCAGATCTGAAGGAGGAAAGACAGCACATAAGCCTGGGTCTTTTAGCATGCTAAAGTGAATCTTACACATGATTACAAATGATTAGCATAATAAAAACGTGCTACTCTTCTTTATCTGGGGAATATTAACTGATCTCACTGAAGAATGACCCTAGAGCTTAATTTTTAACACAGAGTTTTGGTAGGGGGTTTCCTTACATGCAGTTACATTGCTCCGACTGCAAATATCCTACCTTGCTTTTTCCAGAGGCCCTCACCCTACTCTGACTAAGCCCACAGTCCCTGTCTCGCAAGTGTATAAAATAGTTGATTTTTTTGTATTGATCTTATATCCTACATCCTTGCTAAACTTCTTTCTAGTGGATTCCTTGGATTTCTTATACACCCAGTCATATCATCTGTAAATAGAGATAGTTTACTTCTTTCCAATTTGGATGCCTTTTATTTCTTTTTCTTGCCTAGTTTCCCTGGCTAGAACTTCCTCTACAGTGTTCGATAGGTGAGAGTAGACATCATTGTCTTATTCCTGACTTTAGGGGAAAGTATTCAGTCTTTTACCATTAAGTATGATGTTAGCCATGTGTTTTTCAGAGATGGTCTTTGTCAGGATGAGGAAATTCCCTTCTATTTCTAATTTGTTGAGTGTTTTTATCATGAAAGGTTGTTTTGTCAAATTCTTCTTTGTCTATTGAGATGAACATGTAATTTTTGTTTTTTACCCTTCTAATAGAGTGTATATTAGTTTATTTTCTAATATTAACCCAACTTTGCATTCCAATTCTTTCCTTTTTATTCCTGAATAGTGTTTCATTGTATGAATATACCATATTCTATATATCCATTCATCCATTGAAGGAGATCTGGTTGCTTCCAGTTTTAGCTGTTGTGAATAACACTATCAACATTCATCTGAAAGTCTTTGTGTGGACATAGGTTTTCATTTCTCTTGGGTAGATACCTGGTTGTGAAATTGCTAGGTCTTATGGTAAATTCATGTATACCTTTTTAAGAAACTGAGCTGTTTTCCAAAGTTACTGTACCATTTACATCCCCAGTGTCTGAGATGTCCTGTTTCATCACATCCTGGCCAACATTTGTTGTCTCTCTCTTTTATTTCAGTCCTTCCCATGGATGTGAAATGGTATTTCATTGTGGTTTTAATTTGCATTTCCCTGGTGGATAATGATGTTGAACATTTTTCCCACTTCTTATTTTCATGTACTCACCAGCCATTTATATACCTTCTTTGGTGAAATGTGTATTAAAATCTGTTGCCCATTTTAAAATTGGATTATTTTGACAAAATGCATGTTTTAAGAATGTACATGTTGGATATGGTATGGTAAAGGCAGTATGACCACTTTGAAAGAGACGAGAATGAGACTTGAAAGGAAGAAATTTATTAAGCTCCTATATTGTAGAAAGAGGTCAACACCTACCATGCAGGGCCACAGAGGAAGCAACAGCATTGGTCAGGAGGCAGAAGACAGGAGGAAGGGTGGAGCATAGTCCTTGGTGCTTATTGGGGCTTCTATGGGTTTCTATGGGAAAGACAAGGCAGGGCAGGACAAGTAATTTAGAATTGACTAGTTTGAATAATTTTGGTGGGCTGTAAAACTATAAGGATGCTCTCTCATTACCTGGTACCTGGACACCTAGAATGATTTAGGACAAGGGAAATATTGGCTTGGTGCAGGAGAGTTAGATTAAATTGGAGTTGGGAGTATTGGTTATTTTGCATATGAAAAGCAGCTTGCAGGCAAGTTGTTACTATCTTTAGGAATTAGCTCCCTGGAAGAGGCAGTCTCTCTCCAGCCAGAAGGATTTTTTAAGATATCAAAATGTCATAATATACAGAAAATTTGAAAAGTGTTTACAATGTAGTGTACTTACCTGTTACATTTAAAATATTTTTTGTCAAAATTTGGAACTGTATATCTATATATTATTATTATTAAGATATCATTAACATACAATCTTAGGAAGGTTTCACATAAGCAACATTGTGGTTACTACATTCACCTATATTATCAAATCCCCACCCTACCCCATTGCAGTCACTGTCCATCAGCATAGTAAGATGCTATAGAGTCACTACTTGTCTTCTCTGTGCTATACTGCCTTCCCCATGCTCCTGTGTGCTGATCATAATACGCCTTAATCCCCTTCTCCCTCCCTCCCCACCTGCTTCCCTTTGGTAACAGCTAGTCTCTTTGAGCCTGTGAGTCTGCTGCTGTTTTGTTCCTTCAGCTTTGCTTTGTTGTTATACTTGGAGCTGTATATTTTTAACTCATTCAGTGGATGGAAAGTGTCTGCCATATCAATGTATTGGCAAAGTCAGTCCTCTTTGTCACACACTTCATCTTTCAATTCAAATACACAGGTTAATGGCCTGTAATGACAACATCTCACTCTGAAGTTTAATACTGAATGGATTGAGAAGATAGGCCTCCTGCTGTGAATTTATCCTTGAATAAAATCAGGCGACCTTATCTGCTCTGTTTCTTACCTACATTCCCTTTGCTCTGTTCTCACAGGACCCTCTCAGAAGGGTCTTTTGATAGTAGTCAGGGAGCAAAAGAGGAGAGGTTACTAGGTAAAAATTTCTTTTGTCCTTTCACCTATTGATCGAAATTTGGGTTGTTTCACTAGTTTATTTGACATTGCTTCCTAATCCACAAAGAAAATTAAGGCGCCCACCAGCACAACTACCACAGCCAGCATCTATACCCCCACACTCTGCCTGCCCTTCTTCTGCTCCAGGTGGCCTGTTTCTGCTCCCAAGGCCAATTCCTTGACTTGGATACTAGATCTCTTCTCCTCTCAAACACTCAAGAACATTGAACCAGCCAGCCATTCACTCTCTATCTTCAGTTTGTCCTGTTCCCATTATTTCCATCAGCAACTCTATAAGGCTGTCTTATCTTCCACTTTAATTGTTCTTAAGGTTCATGGTATTGTTGGAGAGACATAATTTACAGGCACAACAGGCCCTATAAATATACATAAATAAACAGAGGAAAATAAAAAATTAAAGTATAAGGTGGCAAATGATAATGTGCTAGAGTGTATAAATTCTTTAATAATGCTACAGAAGTTTGTGTGGTTTTAGGTGGTATAGAGAAAGAACTGAGGACAGCTTTCTGAAGTGCTATATTTGTCAGACTTCTCAGTCACAAGCAACGGAAATAGATTCTGATTTTAAGTTAGGTTATAAATAGTTCACAGAGTCACTGGGAAAGCTGGAGAACCAGGCTCAGAGCCTAAGAAGCTATAACCACAGCCAAAACCACTCCATAAATAGTGTCTGGCGAGGATACTACTGTCCACTAGATGTCACGCCTTACACTGCTGACACCATTAGGCCAGAACCTGAACCTGGCACTGCTGCCAAAGCTACTGTGGAAACAGGAAGTTGTTGCTGCTGGGAACACTCTTCCACTGACTGTGCTTCTTTTCACCAATAACTCCAGGGTCAGAGTCTAAGATAGCTGCATCTGATTGGCCCAGCCTAGATCTGTGCCAGCATCGAGCCACAAAAAAGGGCTGCGAAAGCAAGTATCTGGCATGTTCAGCATCTATAGTGACAAATGGGATCTGCTTTATAAAAGATTTGGAAGGTGAGAAATTCTCAGATGTTTTTCCACCTTCACCCTCAAAAAGGAAATGTCCACCTACAGCTGGCCAAAACTAGAGGTCAAGAAAAGGAAGGCGACTAGTCAGTCAAGGTATCAAGAAACGGTGCAGAGCAGTGGGAATGCACCTTAAAGAAGTTTGAGAGGAGAGTTCAAGGAAGGAAAGGTTAGGAGCTAAGAGTTCTAGGAAGAGTAGGAGTGGTCTTTGTATTTGGATAGAGAGGGGTGTCCTTTGATCTCACCAAGGGCAATTTCAGTTGAGTGTGGAGATCAAAGCCAATTATAGAGAATTATGGAGAAGATGAGTGTAATAATGATAGGAAGGAAACTGGTATTGAAAATATTGAAAGTGTTTGCATCTTTTATTTTTTCATTTTAATTTTTAAAATATTTTTAATTAAAAATTTTTTATTAAGGTATGATTGATATAAATTCTTATGAAGGTTTCACATGAAAAAACAATGTGGTTA